AGATAGATAGATAGATAGATAGATAGATAGATAGATAGATAGATAGATAGATAGATAGATAGATAGATAGATAGATAGATAGATAGATAGATAGTGAATATCCTACATTGTGAGCATGTGTAGCTGGGCAGCACAAGCCTCCTCTGTATGTGATTTACGGAAGTTAATCCACAACAAGAGTGGAGCAGCAGCTGCAGTGAGGAACAGGCTGTCACTGCTCTGCATCCCCTCAGACTGTTTTTCACACTTTGTTAGCAGTGGTGTAAATAGATCAAGGTAATCCCTTCGTCTGAGGGGGTATTCATCAAACCAGCCTCAGCCTCCCCCGTTGTCATCATTCAGTTCCTACACAGTAATCCTTCATGTGATCCTGGGACATAAGGAGGTGAAGAGCAGGTGAAGAGGAGGACCACACCCTCCTCCCCCAGGCTCTGTCTGCATTGTCACACAATCAGAAGCCGAAATATAAATATTCCCCTGATAAACTGACAGAGTGTAATGCACTCAAATGGAAAAAAACACTAGTGTAAATGTGGTCGTCTTTTTCAAAGCGATACGGAGGAAACACTGCAGTAAACTTGGGAACTAAGGTACAAAAGCTTTAAACTGTAGTAAATAATGCATAAATAATGTTCAATAATGTACACAAAAGTAGACAAATTAGTCAACACAGTTGACCAAGATCTTTCCAAGAGAAGACAATGAAAGAGTTTCAAAACAAGTACTTATTTATTATGTCTCTACTGGTTTATTATGTCTCTACTGTAAGAAGAAGAAGAAAACTAGTAAGTGGTGTGTCCAAGGAGCCAAGAATACCTCCCCAGATACTGGTGTCCTGGAACAACCTGTTGAACGATGAACCAGACTGGAAGAAGTTGATTTGGTCACAACTAAAAGCATCACTGTCTTACCCTACAGTCACCAAAGAAAGCAAAGAAACGGTCTGAAGGAGCCAGCTCCAACGTCTTCTCAATGTTTGAACAGGCTCAGATCCAGGAGTTTAAAGAAGTCAGTAACTGTTTTGTTTTCTTGCTCTTGAGTTTTATGTACACTGGACTCTGTGGTTAACATGTTCACACATCTGCAGGCCTTCACCATCATGGACCAGAACAGAGACGGCTTCATCGACAAGAACGACCTGAGAGACACTTTTGCTGCTTTAGGTAAAAATCACTGAAAGATGAAGTGAATAAATTCTTCTCTGATAATTGACAAATTATCCCAAAATTATAAACTTTGTCAGTTGCAGTGCTGCTATTTTGTCTCTTCCAGGTCGTTTGAATGTCAAGCAAGAGGAGATTGATGAGATGCTAAAGGAGGCGCCGGGGCCGATTAATTTCACCGTCTTTCTCACCATGTTTGGAGAGAAGCTAAAGGGTGAGATCTGACATCTGAACAGGAAGGAAAATGTTCCCATTTCCAGGTGTAGCTAAATCCGGTTTATCTAGGTAAAGAGAAAAGACATGGAGCAGGAGTCTACATAAATATTCAGGCTAAGAGCCTTTTCTCACATGGTCAAACTTTGAAGAGAATAAAATAAAATAATATCTTAATCAGAGCCAAAATAGAGATAATAAAATCAGTATTTATCTGGGGTAAAAGCTCAAAATCACAGACAGGTCCAAATGTTGTCCCAGCCCAGGCTTGTTAAACAAAGTGGAGCATCAAACCCTGTAAGGTGTTTTCCTGGCCATTTCAGCACAAATTATTTCTGCTTGGTTTAATTGTCTTCTCCTCCCCACAGGCGCTGACCCAGAGGAAACGATTCTCAATGCCTTCAAAGTCTTCGATCCTGAGGGAAAAGGATCATTAAAAAAGGACTTGTGAGTAACTTCCTGTTGTAGTGAGGAGGTTTTCATCAACTCATCAGCAGCATCTTTTTCACTTTCTTGATGTGTGTGTGTATGTGTGCTGGTTCACAGTGTCACGGAGATGCTGACAACACAGGCTGACAGATTTTCATCTGAGGAGGTCAGAGCTGTTCTGCTGTAGACCAGTCAGTCACAGACTCACAGGACTATTTCACTTAACATAGAGTCAGATCTAGACTCAGACACACTACATGACAAAACCCATCACAGACTAACTGTTGAATACAAATATTATTTACTGTACATGGGTTACTAACGCCATCAATGGGAACCACATTATAGTTAAATTTTAATTTTTTTATGTATGTAGTTGGAGACAGAAATACCATAAAACGTTAATTTCTGTCTCGCAGATGGATCAGATGTTTGCAGCCTTCCCTCCAGATGTAGCAGGAAATCTGGACTACAAGAACCTGGTCCATGTCATCACACATGGAGAAGAAAAAGACCAGGAATAATAAAAAAATCTAAACGCTGTTCCCTGTTTGTGTTGTGATTTACAGAATCAGTTGCTTACATGAATGATGTCATTATATTATTTTAATTTTCTGCCTTTTCTTTTTCTTTTTTTCTTTTTTGCTGATGAAAAGCTCAAATGGGTGGTGATGTAAAATTGTAAAAAAAAACCTGAACCATCCCTTTAATATGTTGTGATTTGATCTGCAATGACATTTTCTGAAAAGTACAATAGAAGGAAGGGATGTCAGATTGTTTTGAGCATCTCTATATGTACAACTACAAGTTTTACAACAGCTAGAAAATTAAAGTGTGTTAAATTTTGACCTGTGCTGTTTTCATCATGTCAGTGGATTTGGAGTTTTATTGTCCAGGCCTGTGAGGGTGCTCTGTTAAATCCTGATGCAAAAAAATAAAATACAGTAACTTTCCCCACTTGTAGACAAATTTGTGCACAGATTCATTACCTGAGGCTACAGCAGGAAAAAAAATCTTCAGAAGTGATATTTAATGAGTCATTTAGGTCTTAGTGCTGTGCTGAGTTAGTAGCTCAGACATCTCTGTTACGTGAAGGCAAGACAGGAAGCAGGCTTGACCCAAGAGCAGCACTAGGGAGACTCTCTTCAGGTGCAGCAGGTGATTTATTTACAGTGCAACAACAACAACTCACAGAAATGAAGCATTGTTTATAGACAGGTTCTCTGGCAAATATCATGGAAGAGCAACAACAAAGTTTCACAGGAATATAACATCGACTACAGGCATGCTCTTCTCCAACATCATGGACTTTTCAAAGCTCATGGTCTTCCCAAACCATGGACTTCTCCAACTCAAGGACGCAAACAACAAAACACAGGCCACTCACACATTGCTACCGAACAACCTCGAACAATGATCCCACCTCGACAGAGTGAGGGAGGGAGGTGTATATACCCTGGGCACCAGGTGACACGAGTGAGACTAATGAGCAGAGACACAGGTGAGGCTGATGACACTAACACCACCCAGCAGACAAGACAGGAAGGGGAAACAGCTGGTTCAACTGCTCAACTGCTTTTGAAAAGCTGAAGCAAACAAGGATGCATGTTTTAATACAGAATATGTAGCAGACAGAGTACATCTGGATTTGACCAAACAAAACACTGCTTCCCCACAGCCCTGGATATCTGTTGGTCAAATGGTCTAGAATCGTCACGTGGAGACGCTGATGAGAGCTTCATTGAGTTTAGGTGGAATTACACAATTAGACAATTAGACCTGAAGTTAATGACTGATGAATCTGTCCTGCTTTTTGAGTTCATATCCAGTTTTCTTCATCCAAACATCCAAATCATTTAATAAAACACCAGGAGGGAAACAAATTACGACTCTTCCAAACCTTGGAATTGTGGAGGTTCTGTAATGATACTGTATGAAGCTATAGACTGTAGTTTTTAAGGAACAAGTCCATGGAAACAATAAAACTTTTTTTAAATAATACTCCACTGATTAACTTTAAGTTTACCTCAAGTTTCCTTTAAGTCACTTTATTGAAAAATATTCAACATGACCTGTTGAACAACAGCTAATATTAGTGACTAGTTTTTAGGGTTAAACAACTGCTAGTTTTAGTGACAACTACTAGTCAATGTAGTTAATACTACTAATAATGACGATGTCTGTAGACAACATTATGAAACCTTTTAAAACTAATAAGCTACAGCTAAATGTGGCTTTGCTTGGACTCCAAAATACATTTACAAAAAACAATCGAAGGCTTTACTTTTAAAAAGCTCTATGTAAGAATAAAAAATCACATGGCTTTAAAGTTATAGTGATGTTAAAACTTGTCTTTATGAGTCATTATTGATGAGTCATTGACAATTTGAAAAAGTATAACAAGGCTTTCATGTACCTGGCTCAGATCTCAATTTGAATTGGGTTTAAGCCCTGATCTTTTATGGTGTTTTTGTTCATCTGTTCATCTATGACGCGATCCTTTTCTGCAAAAATAAACACATCTAACTGTATTTCGGGTTATTTCTAAAATAATGCAGAAATAATAATGAGATGGTTTTTTTGTGAGCATGATTTTGTTTTTTGTTTTTTTTTAAAAGTCTCGTGCGAACAGGACGTGTTTTCCTTCCAGTCCAGCAGGGGGAAGCAGCGGAGAGGTCAGGATCAGCAATTATAAAAGCCGTAGCCTCCTGATGCCGCTGGCAGACAGTTGAAGGTGCGGCAGCGAAAGTAGCGTCGTTAGCTCAGCGCTAGTGCAGCTGACGTTTATTAGTTTTTGTCCCTATTTGGCGGCCCTGAAAACGGCCTTGGATGTAGTTGTTTTTTAAATTGTAATATTAAAGTAGATTTTTAGATTTTCCCCGACGGATTTACATCTTCACCACCACCTGCTTGAAAAAAGCACAGCTAACGTTAGCAAGCTAATGCTCAGCTAGCGTGCAGCATTTGCGATTTAACGCTACAAAATTTACCCTAATTTGAAATCTTATTAAGTAATCCGCCGCTGCAATGGCCGATGTTGACAAGCTCAACATAGACAACATCATCCAGCGTCTTTTAGAAGGTAAGAAAATGTTTGGTTTTTTTCCTGATGTATGCTAATATCAGCTAATATAGCGTCACAGAGCCTGTTTCTTAAGATTATAATCGTAAATAACAGTCATAGTGGGAACATAACGTTTGTTGCCAGCTATGTCCTTTTTGTAAAGAATGTTTCGGTTTGAAAACGTTGAAAACGAGTGACCAAAGGTCAAGAAACACTACGTAACTGTTAAAATTGCGCCTATATTTACAGTAACACATTCCATCATTGAGATAAAACCAGGTATTAATATCGAAGCCTAACAGGGAATAATGCATACTGACGATATAAACCTGTAATACAAATTATGTATAAAATATAACGTCAACTGTTCGGGCTGTTTAATTGATTTTAAAATTAAATTTAATTATGCTTAGTATGATTTATATAAATAACAGTATGAGTTGCTCGTAATTGAATTACAAAGTAATTTAAAATATTCGTTACATAATTGATATGGGATGTATAATATAAATATTTAGTCACCAGTGTTATGTATATTTAATTTAATCAGTTGTCATGACTGCATTCATTTATACCTTTAATCATTTACGTAAATGTAATGGAAATGATCTGCAATGTCCCTTCATCCAAGTTGCCTATTTCTAATGTCATGAAACAGTTTACGCAGCATTTTTAGAGAATAGGGATAAATGGCTAAAGGAAAAGCAGGTGCCTTTGAACTAGCAGTAACAAAAACATCTCATGTTCAGATTATTTAAATCCACATAAATCTTCTGTAGTTGGTTGGATATGTTTTTATCACAGTGACAATACATTTGCATATTTTGCAAAATTAATAGAGCAACCAGCTGTGTGTGCAGAGCAACTTAATGTGTATGCTGACTTTGTTTTTCTTGTTGCAGTCAGAGGAGCAAAACCTGGCAAGAATGTGCAGCTTCAAGAGAATGAGATCCGTGGATTATGCCTCAAGTCCAGGGAGATCTTTCTCAGCCAGCCCATTCTGCTGGAACTGGAGGCCCCTCTCAAGATATGTGGTAAGTACAGTGTTTGTTTAGACAGCAGGCAACTTAATGTCTGTAAGGCATAAAAACATTTGATTGTTGTTCTAATTTGTACTTAAAAACCAGAGTTCACGTTCTCATACTGATGACTGCTGTCTTTTGCAACTCTCTGTACAATTAGAAATGTGTCAAGACGGATGTCAAACCAGTCCCATGATCCAGTGAAAACTGTTGAGAAAATCTCACATTTACTGCATGCTGACTGTAGCCTACAGCTGAAAACACTGGTATTAGAATTATGCCTAATGATAAAGACGGCTAAAGTGTCTGTCCTGAAGCTCTTAACTCAAGTCAAGGCTAAAGATACTATCAAAGTTACCCGTATCTCCCTGGGGAAAAACACATAGTTCTGGGTTATGTTCTTAGTTGCTGAACAAAGATAAGCAGCTTATATTAGGACTCACAAATGCTATTAATTTACATAAATCCACAGTTTCCCTGTTGTCAAAACTCGGACGTTAGCAACAATGGAGGAAATAAAAAAAATTATAATTTTATAGTTATTAAGAATGTAAATCAAGGCTGCATTAATATATCTTCATATTCTCTTTCTCTTTGTTAGGTGACATCCACGGGCAATACTATGACCTGCTGAGGCTGTTTGAATACGGAGGCTTCCCCCCAGAGAGCAACTACCTGTTCCTGGGAGACTATGTGGACAGGGGGAAACAGTCCCTGGAAACCATCTGTCTTTTGCTGGCCTATAAAATCAAATACCCCGAGAACTTCTTCCTGCTAAGGGGAAACCACGAGTGTGCTTCTATCAACAGAATATATGGTTTCTATGATGAGTGTGAGTCCTGTTCACTGCCTTCCTTGACTGAAAACATACTATTTTTGTACTTTAGTTTGGCTCTATTAAACACCCAGCAGATGCACAAACACACACAACAGCCATAATGAAATGTTCTTTGATCTTCTTTTAGGTAAAAGAAGATACAACATCAAACTCTGGAAGACATTCACAGATTGTTTTAACTGCCTCCCGATTGCAGCCATTGTTGATGAGAAGATCTTTTGCTGTCATGGAGGTAAATTTTGCTTTTATAATACAGTGCTGTGCAAAAGCCTTATTGAGACAGTATTTTTGGTGATACATTAAGAGATAATACAAGTGCAAAAAAATAATCTCGATCTGTTTGATTTACAGCCCATTTTAAAGGTTAAGAAAGGGTCTTTGAAAATCATACACAGATTAATAGGTTTACCAAAATATCAGAACAAAAGTTTACAGTAAAGGTGGCCAACAACGAAATGTAGCTGTTGCCTTTGATTTCTGGTTTTTGATTTGTTTAATTCTGTGACAATAAGCCTTCATCTGCTCGTCATGTTCGTGCTTGATCACTGTCTTTCATGCAGTTTTCAGCAGACGTCAGCTTTCTGCATGTGAAACCAGCATCGGCCTCAATGTCACGGTGTTTATTTGTACAGGATTGTCACCTGACCTACAGTCCATGGAGCAGATCAGACGCATCATGCGTCCCACTGATGTGCCCGACCAGGGTCTGCTGTGTGATTTGCTCTGGTCTGATCCAGATAAGGATGTCCTAGGCTGGGGTGAGAATGACAGGGGCGTGTCATTCACCTTTGGCTCAGAGGTTGTGGCCAAGTTCCTACACAAACACGATCTGGATCTGATCTGTCGCGCTCATCAGGTAATCACACACACACACACACACACACACACAGTGTAATTTAATATATATCAATACAGTGGCTGTAAAGTAGTGGGTCAACCAATACGCTGATGATGCACTTCATAAAGTCGGACGTTACATACTGTACAATGAAATAGACACTTTAATATTGCTTTTAAAATATTATAGGAATTGGCAGGACACTTTTTGATAGCTGTCTTCTGATTGTCTTGACTGTTGTGTCACAACTTGGGATATTCCCAGTGAGGGCCCTGACACAATAGTTTGTGGACCATCAGCCATCAGACTGTAATGATTCAAAACTTAAGGTTGTGTCCGAACATAGTTGCAAATGGGACATTCTTTCCTTTTAAGGTCTACATGTGCATCATTGGCTATAGTAATGAAAGTGAAAAAGTAAGGCAAATAGTTACTTATGTAACTTACCACTCGAGTGACCTGAGCAAACACCTACATTCAATGTGTTACTCGGCGTATGCAGAACTGTTAGCAGAGGACTAAGAGGACCAGTTAAATAAAGCAAGAATCACCTCATTTTTGCATCCCACCTCCTCCCAAGCCCTTCTGGCTGCTTGCTAATAACAATAATATAATTAAGTAATACAATAATTATAATATACAATTATAAATGGCCCTTGATTTGCCTTCATGAAGTTTTATATTGAGTTGGTAAACTGCAAATGTTATGTAACAGATTTGGTTGGAGTGCCTTCTAGTGGTTGTGGCACATAATAATCTGGTTTTAAACAAACATTAAGAAAATTGGAATATAATTAAAATATTTCACATAAGAAGCATTAGAAATTCCAATGTGAATTAAGGGGAAGATTGACAGCCCTAGTGTAAAAACCTATATTTTTACTTCTTGCTTGCAGGTCGTTGAAGATGGCTATGAATTCTTCGCAAAGAGGCAACTTGTTACCTTGTTCTCTGCGCCAAACTACTGTGGCGAGTTTGACAATGCTGGTGCCATGATGAGTGTGGACGAAACCCTCATGTGCTCTTTTCAGGTGAGTTTTAAACAGGTGATGATGTAGCTGCATTTCTTTTCTGACATTGTTGTGCAAATAGATTTTTAGCCTCTAGTTTTTTCAGGAATAGTCACTGGACAACCAAAAGTCAGACATCTAAACAAACACCTCTGGATTTTCTTTTGTAGATTTTAAAACCAGCAGAGAAGAAAAAGCCCAATGGCAGCCGTCCTGTGACTCCACCTCGAAACATGGTCACCAAACAAGCCAAGAAATGAGAGGCCGAGGTGCTGAGAGTCAACGGCCAGAGTTCCACTCTTTTCCTCTGCTTTCACTTTCTGCATCTGGAGGATCGCGTGTCCTTTATGCAGGCAATACTGAAAAAGATATCCACTCCTACATGATGAAAGCAAACTATTTTTGTTGTTTTGTCCACAGGGGTAAAATTGATATGTCACCATGATAAACCTCAGGTGTTTTGCACTCCCATTTTGCAACTAGTGTTTGCCACATATGACTGTTTAATCGTGAACATTTAACAATATGGCTACATATGCACAGGATTGCCTTGTTTTGAAGCTGTGCATTTGCTTTTTTCCAGTTTGGTGTTTTGTTTTTTGTGTCCTGTTTGTTTTTATTTTTCTTCCAGTTATGGCCACAATATGGTTCTAAAAATGTTGGGGAAAGACCCGAACACCTGTTTTCCTTGTTTAGAACTTTATCAAGAGTTAATTTGCTTTTTGTGTCCGAAAACATTCAGTTCACCCTGCATTTTCACGTTTTTAAATAAGGGTTGTGCTAAATACAAACCAATAAAGAAGCACTCTTGTTATGTTTGAAATCTTTCTAATAAACTGAGTTTATTTTAGGGGGAAAACTGTAGTCTGTTCGTCATTATTTCCATTAATAGATTGCCGGTTAGGTACTGTAGTTTAAGGGAGAAAACACGATATACTGGTAACTTGTCTAACTCCACAACCACTTTCCCCCTCACCTCCGCCACTCACCACCCACAAGAGGGAGACAAAAATGTACACCAAAGTACAACTCAAACTAGAACTTTTAAGAAAATAGAAATTTTAGGAATAACATGAAAATCTATAGGTTTCTTTTTATGAATAACATTTAAACTTACGTTGAAGGCAGGAGAAGATGTTTTCATGCAGAAGTTTCAGAATTGAGATAACCTTTGACTCAATATGGTTAGGGTGTGCAGATACCGGTATACAATCCTCTACAGAAATTTAATTTGTCTTTAATTATGACATGTCTTTTTTTCTTTAACATCGTTACTAAAATGGGGGGAACGTACGTTCCGTATCGGTTGGTCTTAGCTCACCATCAGTAATTGCAGCGCTATCTGCACACGCTACATTGAAAAAGAAAGGAAGCTATAAATAAAAGAATTAAAAAAATTAAAGGAATGCACGAGTTAAAGCCCGAGTTTACTGAAGCGCACTACTTCCTTATGATGAAACAAATTGCGCAATGCCCTGTGACGTCAGAGCAGTCACAAGACTCCATTAGCAGCAGTTTATCTATTGCTCCTAAAGCTGCGTCTCTACTTAACTGACAGCATGGACTCGGATAAGCGGCATCTACAGCTCCACGGCAGGAGTAGTCTGGGAGAAGAGTGAATTTTGGAAATATTCCTCTGTACATATACTCTCAGAAACTGCGTTTATTTTCTAACAACAAACGGCTTGGTCTACATGCGTGCCTGGCGGCTGTTAACGGCGGCGTTGTCCGGTTGAAAAGCTCGCCGCTCGGCTCGTCAGCGGTCACCACCTTTTGCAGCTACTTAGCTTAGCTTTTGTAGGTTTAGTAGAGTCGACACTGCTGTATTTGAACGCTGACGGTGAAGCTAAGCTAGCTCGACTGCTAGCTTGGCCGGTGTTTGTTGGCTAACAGCGGTTTTTGCTGTACTTGAGTGGGTGATGTTGTCTGTGCTGTCATACGGTAGACTGGTGGCCAGAGCTGTCCTCGGCGGACTCTCTCACACAGACGGCCGTGACTACAGCCTTGTGACAGCGAGCTGCGGCTTCGGCAAAGACTTCCGTAAAGGCATTCTAAAGAAAGGAATGTGTTACGGGGATGATGCCTGCTTCATCGCACGACACAGATCCGCCGATGTTTTGGGTAAGTGTTGGCTTTGTTTGAGTTGTAAACATTTACACAAATTGATACCACTGGTCGTGACGTGAATGTAAGGTCATATTTCGAGCACCTTGAGCTGGAGGCTCAGAACTCCCGATAATATTGTTTATGTGGAAATGTCGGCTTTTGATCCGTAGGACACTAGCACAAGTCCGTGAATTGGTTGAGCTAAAGTATAATCTATACAAAGAATCTACAAATTCCGACTTCCTAAATAGACCCAACACAACCATTTCCTATTTAATAATGACCCTAAAATTTACATTTTAAGGCCAAATGACAAACTACAGAAAGCGTAAATGTTTGGAAACAGGCACGTGGACAAGAGCAAAACATAATGTGGGCTTCATTTTAAAGGTTTAGTAAGCATTGGAATTATTCATAATTATGTGCAACCTCAGGGCCAGATGATAAAACTTGAAAAAAATGTGAGTAATCAGTTGTCCAAAATTGAAATTTATAGGTTATAGTAGAGAAAAGTAAGGACTCTTATATTCTAAATATGCAGAGGTAAAGTGCTGTTTCTTGAGCATTAATGGCTAGCTGTTTATTTTGACAAACAAGTGGACCTCTGCTTTGTCACCTGACAAACGATTTCTCTTCTCATCTACCACATGCCAAACTAAACACAAGCTCACACGACTTGAAAATGGTAACGCTATATCTGAAGAAAACACCGCCTGGTTTGGCATCGCTTTTAAAAACACCACAACTCCAACCTTTTACAAAAGAATAAATGACAAACCTGTGCATTATTTTTTGGCACAAATAAAGAAAACATTAAAATTGAAATTAATTTGGTTTGCTATAACCTAGGATCCAATTTGGGAAGCATCAAAATAACAGACCATTAAAATATGATGTGAAAGAACTGATTGTAAGATTGTATTCAGTCAATGTAAGTCCATATTAAGTGTCAGTGACAGCTTAAAGTACTAATGTGAGGTACATTGTGCAACCCAAACCACAGGATTAGAGCTAAATAAGCAGATAAAGATTCCCTGGGAACAAAAGTCCTGATACTATTTGTAAGCCACACACAAAGCATCCTGTTCTTTGGTACTGAGTGTAAAGTAAACACTTAGGTCAACAGTCATCTGATTAAACTTTATAATTTATATTTTAAATTTATAAACAATCATTAGCCACTGGCAGTATTGATCACCTGCTGCAGATGTGAATCTGGAGCCATGATTTCTACCCTTACACTATCACCACAGCAAATAAACAACAAAACGATGCCTAGAGGTCTAAAAATGAGCTGCCCGAGTCAGTTTCAGAAAATACATTCTTTGGTTTTCATGTCATAGACAGATCATTTCAATGCTAAATCTTCATCCTAACAATTCTCAGGAGAAGCAAAGAATAGGTTGCAGCTACAGGGGAGTGGATGGAAATAAGGATGTCGGCTCATAGAAGAAACTCTGCAGCTATATAAACCTATGGAAAGGTTACTGTTATCTTCTACAGAACTATTTCTGAAGAGACACAGAAAAAAGTCCTTGTATGGTCACCAGCACAACTTAAGTTTCCTTTCCAATAAAATTTGGAAACAAGGAAAGGAAAGTGAACTCCTTGTCATATGCACACAACGAAATGTGACCTCTGTATTTAACCCATCACCAAAGTGAACAGTGGTCAGCTTTTTGAGCGCCCGGGAGCAGTGTGTGGGGACAGTGCTATGCTCAGAGCACCTCAGTGGTAACTTGGTAGCTGGTGGATTCTAACCTGCAACCTTCCGGACCCAAGTCCGCTTCCTTAACCAAACAATTTTGTAGGTGGTTGCACTAACACCAAGAAAGAGTTAAGTAAAAAAAATATATATATGTTGTCTTAAATGCTAATAGGAACCAGACAAGAAAAACTAAAAGTAAAATTTGAAGGGGTCTCATTTGTCCTCATTCAGCACAGGCTGTGACCAAAGAGTAAATGGTGAAAATCCTTCTTTTGTTTTCTGGGATTCTTTGGGACCTGAAGGAAGTTTCCATTGCTAATGAGAACATCTAAATCAAAGCAACATTGAGGCACAGTCATTTGTGAAATCTTAAGAATGTCAAAGATACAAGAAGCCTCTTACAGTTCTGGAAATACTTAGGTGGTCTAATTTCTCAGCACACTGTAAAATGTAATCATATTTTTGTCTTGTAGGTGTAGCTGATGGAGTCGGAGGCTGGAGGGACTATGGTGTTGACCCATCACAGTTTTCAAGTACGCTCATGAAGACATGTGAAAGGCTGGTGAAGGAAGGACGCTTCATTCCTAGCAATCCTGTAGGGGTCTTGACGACCAGCTACTATGAGCTGCTGCAGAACAAAGTGCCACTGCTTGGTGAGCACATCCAGTTTTCTCTGTCAGGCTGTGATGCAAAACAGTTTCCATGTGGTTTGAATCCAAATTTGTTCTTTGGGGTTAAGTTGTTTTTTTCTGGATTAGCTGTTGGCGGTTGGGGATTTTTACAACATGACTCAGAGCCCATCCACATCTGATTAGGAAAGCTTGGGACCTGCACAGTTGAGCTTGCACTCAGAATCCCTTCTGTTTCCTTTTTTAACCTCTTCTCAGTGACAAATCTTGAACACGCATGAAGCATCAGTAGATGAAGTATTACATGATCAGAACAGGGTATGAGCTTTGGTACTTTTCCACCCTGTATTATCACATGGACAGCAGGAAACAACACTGTATTGTGCTGTGTATGAAACCAGCCGTTCTTCAGACCAGCAGTGCGTGTGTGTATGTAATTGTGCTGCTGGAGAGAAACCAGAGAAGTAAGGCAGGCAGTGAGTCACACAGCGTGAGGGGTTTTGAAGGTCGATCCCAGAGAGCGTATTTCGGTTTGCCAAATGAATCAGCCGTAGGGTGTGGCTGTCTGCTCCACCGGCTCATGTTTCCTCCACATCTCCCAAATAGTGCAGATCCAAAAAACAATCAAAAGCGTTAAGTTTTCAGTGTTCTGTCAAGTTGGTTTACTCAGCCAAACCTTACTTATCAGCCTGCTAAAGTGCAAAGTTGCCATGGGTGTGTTGATGTAGCTGTGAAAGATCCTACGACAATGTTTCCTTGTGAATGTTAAATATGTACGATTTTCGTACTTCATAGTTACTTTCCACAAGATTCTTGGTTTAATATGCACAAAAGTACATCCACAGGATCTAACTCCGACCAATAATGTCGACTGTTTGGATGCTGTTCTTTGAATTTTATCCTTTCCATTAATTTTCCCAACATGGTCATGATCAGTGCAATACATCGTCGTATGGCCAATTTTGTTGTCCTAAGCCATTTTCTTTCCTCACTGCTGAACAGAGATTTGATTTCTTGTTTCTTAACCTTTATGAATCGTTCTTGAATCAAGTCTTAAATGATGTTTTTTCAAGGGGTAGCTCATATCTTAAACAAGGTTTTCATATTGAGAGTATAACTGAAAGATAAACTTTTACAAGGTTCAGATATATGTACATAGATTAGTGATTTTATCTGTGGTTCAAGAAATGGATCAGGTCTTGAGGGAGCTAATGAATGAATAAATAATGTGGTTCTATTTTTTTCTCCAGGCAGTAGCACAGCCTGTATAGTGGTCTTGGACCGACAAAGCCACCAGCTGCACACAGCCAACCTGGGAGATTCAGGCTTCCTGGTGGTGCGGGGAGGGGAAGTGGTCCATCGCTCAGACGAGCAGCAGCACTACTTCAACACCCCCTTCCAGCTATCCATTGCTCCTCCAGGAGCTGAGGGGGCCGTCCTCAGTGACAGGTGAGACTGGTGGTGTGCCTGTGCATCAGCCACACTGACGACACACTTTTTTAGATGCTTTCAAAAACATAAAAATATGTAAATGGAACTTTTACATGTTTTCATAAAAAAGCAATTTCGGATTTGGACTAGAGTATTTCAAATGTATTAAAAACTTGTGTATTTAAAAAAAAAAAAAAAGCTTTCGTCAACCCACTAGGAATTACCATATATTCCGGACCATAAGACGCACCGCATTATAAGGCGCACTATCAATAACCGGGAATATTTTCATACATAAGGCGCACCGAGTTATAAGGAGCATTGAGCAAAACAAAACAGTCAGCGAAACAACTAAGCGGAACAATCAAGCATGTCTGGATCCGTATCGTCATTATCAGTCAGTCAGTCTCGTTGCTGTTAATTAGCTGTTCAGTGATGATTCCGGCCTTTGTGAAACATTTGAGACTGATACCTTAGCCCAGGTATCCACGATCCATTAGCAGATTGTGGCGTAACTCGCCCGGCGTTGCCTCCCTGTGTTGGTGAATGTGTGTTCGCCTCCTGTCATCTAATGCTTCCACGCAGCTCGCAATTTAACTTTAAACGCCCTGTTAACACCAATATTCAGCGGTTGGAATTCTCTGGTTTATCCACAGATTGCAAGCCCCAAATTAGTTTGCTTCACTTGGGTTTTGACAATATCAGTGAGATGTGGAGATTTGTGGAGAAGGGTAGTGACCTAAGTTGGACACAGAAAGGCACTGTTGTTGTTGTTCGCCCCTCCAGAGTCAGGCAGTTGTCACTATTTTTGTTCTGGATAGTCACCGTGCATGATGTTCCGTGCGGAAGTGTGGATGTTGTTTTGCAGAGAGAGAGAGTGTTTTGCCTGCATCGATAAAAAAGGAGAAACAAAAAGTTCTTGACAACAAAAAAAATCTACAGCAATGCGTCTGAGTCGCCCTATATCGCACCAAACATCGACAATACAAAAACACAACTCAGAGTCTCCGGGTGTTTGGAGGCACGGTGCGACGTTGCACGGATTTGGGTTAACCACCATACTGTAATAATAGTTGTTGAGCATCTTCTTATTGTGATAAGAGGGTTAAAGTTTAACTGTTAAACGTCATTGTTGGCTCCCAGTGTGTTTCAGTTGTGTGCCATTGTGTGCGCGTGTGGTTTGGCTTTATAAAATTAGTTTGAGGTCAGTAACCACGACCAAAATTAATTTATCTTTAAATATTAAAGGATTTTTAAGTGCGCTTTATAGTCCGATAAATACGGTAATGTGCATTAGGAGTCGAAATTATTCTAACTAAATAAGTACGATCCTTGATATAAGGAAACATGTACAGACATTTTAGTGGACATTGATGTCCAATAAGAATATAGTGAAACCTCACACAGATATAATTTGTGTGATGAACTGTTGATCACTCCACACCTCTGCATTACCTTATCTTATTTTGGCTACAGAAACATAATCACTTGACAGTGGATCAGGATAGGTTGAAAGGAATCATCACATGAGGATTTTGGAACAGACAGTGGGGTCCAATAAAAGCACCCACCGTTATGACAACAGTGGGGTCAAGAACTTAATGAGGCACAAACCAAGTGAATCTGCCAGTGTCAGGTTTGCTTCCTGGAAAATGCCTCCAGCCTGCTGCATAGCCCTTCCTTCTGTCATGAATGCCATTTATTATTAACAGTCTGGACTGGATCGTGACACATGGAGTCCAAGCTGCCAGGGACAGTCTGTTCTATGATCCTGCAGGAACTAAAATCATAGCTCAGACAAGAAATAGACTGTCCCCAGTAGAAAAGAAAAAGCTGAAATTGTCCAAACAAGTGGAGTCACTGCAGCAACTAGTTAAAATTGGACCAATGTGCAATTGTTTCAAGATCATCCTTCTTGTTTTTACTAATTCCGTCCAGTACATTTTAGTCCAAAAGTGAGTTGCAAAACCAAAAATGTTGTGCTGTACATAATAAATACAAATGCATACTAATAATTTAAAACACACTCAGGTTGCGGTAAAGACGAGTGTAAACAAATAAACTGTCTCATCAAATGTATCAGCTAAATCATTCAACATTTTTGGTGCCAGAACAGAGAAGTCTCGATCCCCTCTGAGCTTCAGTCTGATCTAAAGGACAACCAAAAACCCTACATCCCGGTCTTTGATCGATAGGTCTTAGAGACATAGAAGCAGATCAGACTGGGAGGGTGGGGCAAAAGCATTAAGACTTAAGACCACCGTAAGCCAGAACAGAGAGCACAAAATAGGATTTATATGCTCTCTCTCCTCTGTTCCACTGACAAGGCGGTTGCAGAGTTCTGCTTTTGTTGTAGACAGGACAGGTGTTTCTAGCTAACACCAAACATATATGGTTGTTACAGTAATCCAAAAGATTAATGATAACTGTATGGATAAAGTATCTGACATTAAAACAAAAGTGTGACTATTCTCTTTCTCAATGATTTTTTTTTTTTAATCGCCAGCCCTGATGCTGCAGACAGCTCTTCCTTTGATGTCCAGCTGGGTGACATCATCCTCACTGCCACTGACGGACTCTTTGACAACATGCCTGACTATATGATTCTGCAGGAACTGAAGAAGCTCAAGGTAAGTTTTCAACTGCTGTGAGAAGAAACAAAGTGAAATTCAAACATCATAACATAACTCTTTTCGACCAAAGAACACAAACTACGAGAGCATGCAGAAGACGGCACGCAGCATCGCAAAGCAGGCCCACGACCTGGCATACGACCCAAACTACATGTCACCTTTTGCACAGTTTGCCTGTGACAACGGGCTGAATGTAAGAGGTAAGGAGTGTAGTTTCTCACTTAAATTAAAACATGAATGTCCTTGGGATGAAATGCACAACATTCTTCCTGAGATCAGTTGCTAACAGGATTCTTTTTTTTCTTCAGGAGGAAAGCCGGATGACATCACAGTGCTGTTGTCCATTGTAGCGGAGTACACAGATTAAAGGCAACGGGTGGAGCTGTGACAGCGCCTGCCTCTAAAGGTGATGAACTGTTGAAGTCCTGCTGGCCAGGATAAAGAACTAAAGTGACAAGCTCTCCCTGCTATGGCTGGTTCCACTCTGCCTCAGAACTCTTTTCAAATAAGAGAGCTGCAGATTGAAGAGGACATGGGTCCAGAGAGACTCTTGGGCAGGCTGCAGCCTTAAAGTCCATTAGTGATGCATAGGAAATGGTATTTTGGCTTTTTAATAAACATGCAAAGGAATATGTGTGTGGCAGATCTGAAGCATTGTGTGTGTATATAAGGGTGTGTGCAGAGAGAGTGTGTAAATGTGATGTTTTTGATGATGGTTAAAAAATGTAGTGCATTTCATACATCCATTTGTATAAAATGGACAAATGGCTTTGTCCATTTTATACAAGAGAAATGGACAAAGCCATGGTAGCAAAGTCTGGGAGAGTAAATGTTTCTCTGGTTTTAGAATTACTACTTTTTTTAAAAAAAACGTGACTGCATGTATGTCAGTGTGCATGAAACGGATGTAAAGGCTATAGTTTCCAAATCCACTGGGCTATGTTGGTCTTGTGGCCATAAAACGCACAAAACATGTTTTTAAAAAGTGAGTGGTGGTCATGTGACCAAATATATTTTTATATTCTCTTTGTACAGTATCCTATTGTTGAACTTCTTTGACTGAGCTGTGTAACGGAGTAGTTTTTAAGGATGTTGCTCACAATCAAGATTTTGTTTTTTATCCCCTTTCTCTTCTCAAAGCTACAGTTAGAAAAACTAAAACAATGTTCCTACTGGTTTGAGTTAAAAAAAAAAAAAAAGCTCTTTATCACAGGGTTTATTTTCTTTTAAACAAAAAAAGTCCGTTTTACCCTAACTTATTGAAAATGGGCCTTTTGTCTAGTGTTGGTACTGAGAGATGCAGATAAAAGTAGAGTACAAGTGTCAAAAGTTGTGTCCCATGTCTTGGTCGACAGCCAGTGTTGGCTACATACAGAATGTCGGCCAGAACTGCCCAACTGCTGACATTAATGAAGCTCTGACCTATAATCAAGGCTGCAACCAATATTAACTGGTGATGCATATCTTTGTAGGTTAAACAATGACATGTCCTTCAAATGTAGGCAGCCCATCTCAACTGCAGATCATGAATTGGGACACAGCTAAACTGTTCAGGAGCCATAAAAGAAAAATTCCCCATCATTCCCTGTGCTTTTCTCTGAACAGTCTCCTCAAGTTATTCTTGTGTGATCAGTCAACAGCATAGGAATGGTAATAAAGCCATGTGAGACTTTGAACATGTCACTGTGGGTCTTAACTTTGTACAATCTGCACTGTTCAATAACTAGATGTGATCAGTCCATATTGGATGAGGTCAGTGTCAGACACCAGTCAGAAACTCAGCAATGAAGGTGTCAGTTTTTATCTTATCTCAACACTGAAGACAATCGGAACAGCCTTAATGATGCAGCCCAAGACGGTCTAATTTAAGGACATCTTTGTTGACACGATGCTTTCTGTCCGACTTAAATCTACTGTTATCTTCACCATCATTTTCCTGTTTTGTTACACACAACCACATCCTGGACTCCACATCTACTCTCTATGAAAAAACATTCACCTGCCTGTACAAGACATGAATAAAGGGTATATTATTTATTATCCCACTGTGTCTGATGGCTGTTTGATAAAAACAAAGCTGTATCATGGACCAGTCCACCCAGAAAATACATTATATGTTGGTAAAATAAGGGTGGAAAAGAAGAACCTCTTAGCTAACAGACCATGTCAACTTAGTACAAACCAAAAATGTAAATTATTTTTACTACAATTACATAAGAGCATAGTTTTGTTAGCGATAGTACTGTACTCAAACAACATAGTATCCTCATCAGTTCTAAAATTGTAGGATTTAAATAAATCAGAAACTGCTATCAGGGCTTGTTAAGCACTAAATGATCACTAATGAGTTTAAAATGCCTTAGTCTGTCATCTTTACCACAGGAGGAGCAGATGTTTTTTTGCTATTTTTGCATCATCAAATCTGCAATTAGTTTTGTAAGACTGGTTTACTACCACCACCTTAACCACAATACATTTTATGAGGACAGACTGATGTGACATCTTCATTCTAGGGATCATGTTTTCACAAGCAACAGTTTTGAATAATTTTATATTAACAAATGGGTCCAAACATATCAAGTGTTACAGTGTTAATACATGTTATTTAAATAAAATGTTTTTAAAAACAACTTAACCAGAACAGGTTTTTACCATTAGTTTTGAGTGAGAATCAGATGAATAATTTGTTTTGAGAACAGTAACAAGAGATATGGACTTCTTCCTATTAACACACCTAGCCATAAATGATGCTGACACACAGTTGTTGACCTCATGCTGTGTCCATCATGTCCACTAGGTCATTAGGCAACTTCTGTGTTATATTTCCTCTGTTTGTATTTACAAAAATTACACAATATAACAAAATGAGGAACGAGTGGACCAGTGGCTCCTGACTACAGACTATGCCAGCATATAAAAAAAGATGCAAACAGTCATGTTTTAAGCAGTAATGTAAATTAAATGCTTATTTTAAATCAATATAAACTATTGTAATAAAAAAAACAAGTGAATTAAATATTTAAATAAGATCAAGTTAAATGACTGAACATCTAATTTACCATTGAACATTCCTGTTTAATTCCATCATAACCACACGTAGAAATGTTTAGTAATGATTTCCCACAGTTTTTCAGAATGAAGCACTTCTCCTGGTCTCTCCTTCCACAGCTTCCTCTGTATCACTGTAACAGGCCAGAACAGAAAGATGAGCTGCACCAAGGTTGTCATCCTGCTCTGAGGACAAGGCTTTGAAGAGAAGGGAGCAGATCTAACAGAAAAAAACACAGATGACACATAATTAACATTAAAGTGCACAAGTGCATTATTTTAAACAACACTTAAAAGCCGCAGCGACCAATGTGGCTCTTTCGAGACCCCTGTTCTAGACCATAGAAGGGGAGCTAAAACTGGTTTCGGGAGATTAATTCCTTTCAAACAAATATTGAAGAAACCTGAAGAACACTTTATTTCCTAAAAATCCTGTTGACTTGGAAGCACGTGGGATGGTTTTTTTCTTTTTTCACCTCTTATGGCGTTACCTGCTGCAGTTTCTCCAGCTGCTAGAGTTCTTACGCAGTAGACAAGTTGCTCAAACTGGTTTATGCAAATAGATTTTTTAAAACAATGAAATGATATCTGTGAGAATTATGTAATAACTGTCAGGGGACAAAACCTGAGGCATCACATAACTGTAGGAATCCTTCCCAGAAGAGGGTTCATCCAAATCATTAGAAGCACTTTCACCACTATGATATGTAGGGAGTGGTGCTACATGCACTACCCATTGAGGATAAACTCTGTGTGTTTCCATTGAAATTTAAGCTCCAAATATGAATTTTTCTTACTTGACTGGAAGCAGGAGTCGCAGCACCCGAGGCAACGTCTTCTTCAGGGACAAGGCTCTCCAGGTAATGCAGAGACGGAAAAGGAGGCTGGAAGATGGGGCTGCCCTTACTGGACATGATCATCTCTGTTTCAGCAGGCACATCCTGGGGTGTGGTTGCAGGAGCAACAGCTTCTCCACATCTGAGAAGAAAAATGAAGACAGGATCAACTTCAAATTTGGATTTGGTGGAGAAAACAAAGATGACATAATTTCAAGATTTGGGAAACAAGGACAGACATTTAACAACATCTTATTACATTTCTAGACCAAGTGAGTTTTGAATTCTTATTCTATTTCACTATTTTCGATGAAAACATTTAGGACATATTTTTAAGCTCAAGGGAGCTATTTTCTTGTGCAGCTTTCTGTCTGCTCAGAGTTCAAATGTCCTCACGCTGGTTATGATCGAACATTAAAAGAACCATTTGTTACAGTGTCATGTCATTAACCTCAGGGTTCAGCCACAACAGATGTATGAAGACAAACACAACAGGAAGTAAGGGGGAGTTTCCCTTTAAGACTGCAGACTGTGTCAGGCTTCACATTATTGTTGTCAAAAGCTCATCAGACCATAATGTTCAACAGAACACTTCAAGGACGGCAGAAATGAGATTGCATCAGAGCCCAGAGCTGAGAGGTGCGAAAGCAAGCAGTTGGCAGAGACAGGGACGTTGGCAGAGCTGCCAACCAGCCTAACAGAGATAAAGGAATTACAGAGTGTTACACAGACAGGCCTCTAACCTCAACCCACATGTCCTGAGTTTGGCCTGTTTATCTGTGCCACAGATACAGGATTGGCTGCTGTGACACTACGCTGTCTTACACAGCTATAAACAGCAGGTGAAACAAAATGTCTAGACTGAACACAGATATGACACTCCAGTAAAGCCTCAGTCAAGAGATGAAGTAGGGCATCATTGGGGAACGTGGTCTTCAGTACAAACAAGGAAGTTGGAAGTTGGAAGAAGTCTGGTCGGAGTATTTACCTTAGTCTTAATTCTCTGCTTGATTTGGACGTTTATACTCTTGTGTGACAAATGCTTAATAAACCCTGATGAATTACAAAAATGTTTCATAGACAGAAAGTGTGTGTGGTTGACTGGCCTGCCTGCAGTCTGGATATGTCTCCTACTGAGAATGTCTGGAGTGTCATGATAGGTAGAATTACACAAGCATGTACCGTTAAAAAAACATTAAACAACTTTGTACCTTGTACAAAAAAGAAAGATATTTTTAGGATAATTTAAGAATTTAATGCTCAGGTCATTTGTATTTGTCAATGTCAGACATGTACGGAACAAACATGTTTACAAAACATACAGAAGACATGAGAGTTGTGTGCATCAAAGAATGGAATGTTACATTCAATGGACTGAGGAATCAGATGTGAGCCAAATGTAGAACTTTGGAGACATGGATTAGGTGCATCATCATTTATTTAGTCTAACCTAATAATCAGGCAGGTAATCCAAAGGACAACACAGGCCAGGCAGGTACCAAGGAGACATGCAAGCAGGAACAACATGCAGTGAACAGTACACAGAGACATAACAACCTTCCCAGCAACAAAGAACATTAACCCCACAAAGACAGAGTGTGGGAGAGAGGTATATATACCCAGGGCACCAGGTGAGATGAGTGAGACTTATAAATCACAGGACACAGGTGAGAGTGATGAGACAAATAAGGTTAGTTACCTCGGTGAATGAGAGGGACTCCTGTTGTCAGATGCAGGTAGAGTGGCCAACACCACGGTGGCCTCCAGGAACATGTCCTCTATGAAGAAACATACAGGTCTGTAAAAAAAAGCATTAGTGATAAACTGATAGATCTCAGGGAGAAACAGAAATCTGAAAAAAAAAACTTAAAATTACTGGTTAGCCAAAACTTTTATAAATTAATTAATTTTAAATTATATAAACTGTATAACTTTAACTAAAACTATGAGGCAGAAATGTTGTGTTGATTGATGTTTTCATTATTTATGAGTGGAAAATAAAATCAAAATGTTAAAATCACGTAGGTTGTTATGAATCTGATGTACTTGCCTATGTATTTAAATTCATCCTTCTTTAAATACAACATGTCAGGGAGTCCAAGGTCATGGAATTAAGTTCGGGGGAACAGACTGACGTAGGTTTCTGTAACTAGATATACAAACACCACTCAAGACCCAATAAAGGTGGCAAAGACACTACTTACTTTCCTGCAGCACCAAAGAGGACTGACACTGGAAGGCAATGTGACTCTGCGAAGGCCAGAAAGCCCTGTAACAAGAAAACAGCCGCCAAAAAGTCAGACGTTCTTGTGAACAGACATAACAGGACTGAAATGTTTTGACGGCAAGTCATTTTCCAGCAGTGCTATTCAGTGTTTACAACCAAAAAAGGGGAAATACCAGAGCATGAGTAGCCACAGGAAGGTCACATTTTGAAGTTTACTATTTATATCCATCTTAACTAAATTGTTCTTTCCCCTGCACAGTCAGCTTCAGCTAAGGAGACGCATTAAAAGCACGTTTCTGAAAAATTAGGCACAGCCGTGTGTAGTAATGCAGGGCAAGTCTAATTAACTGACTTGGGCCAACAATTCCTTTTGCTTTAATAAAAACCAATGATTGCAGCATATAGTGTCTGGAACCTGCTTTAGTTTAACTTCTGTGTAGTGGCCGAAGGGAGAGTTCACATGGAAACGATATAGGGAGCCCAGGACCAGAAATATGACCTGTTAACCTCCAACTGCAACTAGTGAATAACTCTCTCACTCCGTCTCACACACACACACACGCAAGCACACACATCATATTCTCATGTGGCAGGATAATTGGAGCTTCCAAAAATAACCCTGTTACCCTCAACTCCTTCAAACAGAAGGTTATGTCCGACTCCACTCCGACCTGAAAATGTTCAAACTCGTCTGGGTGTAAGGACATCTCCGTGTACATGAACTTCAGGTGATCTATGACAGAAGTTTACACAGGTCATCCACAGTTTTAGTGTTTGAATCGGTGAATTCTAATGTACTGAGTAACATTTCAAAGTTGGTCTTCTAAACACTGCTGCGACACACTAACCACCTTGGGCAGTCACCAAATCAAAGTGTAAAATTTTCATCTCACCATTTCCCTCCTCGTAGTAGTTTCTCAGACTGACTCTGTGTGGAGTCGTTGACAGAGTGATTTCCTCTTGGGACAGTGGGAAGTGAATCACCATGTCACTAAAAAGTCTATACAGAGTAAAGAAAAATAGTAATGGAGTCAATGTGTCTTTGGATGTCTTAAAGTCACTAAGACACATTTCAGACTTATTTATTGTTCATATGTTCAGGTAATGTTTACAGGTAGCAATTCAGGCAGCATAAAGTGTATGTGTTTCAAGTCAGCTGACTGACAAACAAAAGCTGTCAAAATTCAATTTATCTCCACTGACTGATTTAACATTCCCTGCCCTATTTATTCACAAGTTAATTATTTTAATAGATACAGAAGGCAGAAAAAGAAAGTAACAAGATGTTTCAGTTCAGACATGTGCAATTTAGGCAATGTGCACGTGTGTCTGATATTCATGAGCTGAGTTTGAAGGATGACCCGCAGGTTTAAACTTGATAAGAGAATGTTGAGGTTCTAGCCTGGCAGGTGCCTTCAGTATGTTGGGACACAAGTCTGCAGCAAACTCCGCCTGCAGAGATTCACTTTCCTGGAAGTGAAGGTTGTGGGTCTTGGTTAGACCTAAAACGAAAACAGACAGGTTGGTTATTTGCAGCATAGTGCCACCTAGTGATGGTAGTGTGTAAGGCAACGTTTGGAAAATACATTGTTACCTACCATGTTTGCAGATGAACATGATTTTTACTCGGTCACTGGTAGTGTTGATTGTTATCTGACATCGTTCCACATTTCGCTCAATGGATGTCAAAGACCGGAAAAGCGGGAGCACAGACTAAACAAATAAAGTCAAATTTTGCAAATTGCTCATAAAACGCTCATAAAAAAATACGTAAAAATACTGCTCTTGAATACCTTCATGGCGAGTTTGCAGTGGATAATTTCACTGCCTTGATCTTGGTTAGAGCCAAGGCTGTAGTGTTGAAAGAACATTGGTGAGAAAACGAAGCAGGCGTATGCAGAATGAGCAGAGTTGACTGATCTCAGGGCCAACTGAAAGACACAAAGGATGTTTTAAGATGCTTAAAAGTCAAAGTAAACTTCCATAGTACTAAAAGATAGTAACATGGAAAGTCCTCATATATATAAATAGTAATAATAAAAAAGAAAAATAATCAACTAATGGTGGATACATCTAGCTTTTTTATAACGTGAAGGTCGAGACCGTATGGTAATGACAACATGCAGACTTGTGTTGAGTTTACTTTATAGGTAATATCTGCAGTAATGGATGCTGCTCACCCCCTTCAGCAGGGAAACCAA